CCGCACGATTCATTTGGTTTTCCCCCCCCCTTTTTTTTTTTTTTTTTTTTTTTTTTTGGGGGCCCCATTTTCCCCTTGAAAAATAAAAAAAAAAAAAAAAGCCGATTTCGAAAAAATCCGCCCCATTTTTGGGTGGGGGGAGTTTCGAAAAGAAAGAGTGAAACAGCGCGTAAGTACCTGTTTCTTTTTTATAGTTAAACTCTAAACGTAAACCTTAAATTAATTCAAATAACTTGTTTCAATTATGTTTTCCAGTCGACGGAGTTGCCCTTACTAAGAAGGTAATAACATGTTATCATAAAATGAAGGGGCCTTGCAGCAAGCGTTCTTCTATCCGTTGCCAATGGTAACTATATCCTTTTTTGGTCGAAGCGTGGTCTCATCTTTATTTCTGCCCCAAGTTTTCAATAATAAGTAATGACCAAACATAAATACAAAAACAGAAAAGCCCATTCCACCAAAATCGGAATTAGTGACATGTTAGAGATAACAGGACTGTCAATGGCAACAAGCCGCCGAAAGGGAGGGCCTGTTAAACAGAAAGAACGGGTCGATGGAAGAACATTACGACCACCTAAGCAGTCAATTTCTCTCTTACCCGAAAAGGAGTTGACTAGGGGCGGGATTTTAATGATTGCTTCTTATTCTTTTCAATTTAGAACAATGACGTTTAGGTACAAAATTCATTTTACTATGACAAGAAGAAATTACCAAATTTTTATGTATTTTTTTCCCGCTTTTCGAATTGATTTCAACCAATTAGCCATTTTTTAACCTTTTAGTCTCATTTTAATGCATTTTTCTGATTTAATAAGCTTATTTTAATATATCCTTAATGTATTCTTAATAATTACGAGAGCACATTTTCACCACAGCTTCTGAACTTCTTCGGATTCTTTTGCTTCAATTATATCGTATTTACAGTCTGTGCAGACTAAATGTTCACGACGGACTTCTGTGACGTGCCTATTCGTGCCTGGCATATTTGGTATCAGCCGTTAACAGTAACGCTGGTGTAATTAGGCCATGAGTCATGAACTAAGGCAGAGATTTTTCTTTTGAAATACAGTCCAAACCAGAAAGTTTTCAAAGCTTAGTTCCTTTGAAGGAAAGGAAGGATAGCGGAATTACGTCAGTGACACATAGTGACAGCTTGTAGGTTTATCTTGTCTGAACAGTGGTTTTGATCAATTTTCGACGTATAGTTGCTTTGTTTTTTAGGGCGCTATAGCAGTTTTAAGAGCATTTTAAGGAGCATTTTATTGGTCAATGTTCTAGGCCATGGTTTCGGTCATAGCAAAATCCGCGCCCTAGTTACGCCTATTGAAGGTAGTGGTAACAACGTGCCAATAGAAGTATGATGGTGTGTCCAAGCGCTTTCTTTTGCGCCAGTCGGCGGCCAGCCGTGTTGTGCGCATCGCATACGTTTCTAGCTTCGGTGCGGCTGAGCCTGGCCGCTGACATTGCTTATGCTGCGCTCGCGATCAACGCGGTAGTCCCTCTATCTGGGTGCGTGGGTGGTCGGTGACAGCGCGCTTGCTGTGGGGGCTATCAGGGCCGTTTCGTGAGAGCGCGAACTCGTCTCTCGTGGCCCGGGTCTCCTCAGAGAGCAGCCGCCCAGCGCGCAGTTCGGCTGTGCTGCCCGGTCTGAGTGCTGCCCTTCCCCCCCCCCACCACCAACACACAGACGCGAACCGTCACTTGGCCGATAAAATACACAGTAATAACAGAAGTTCTACCAAGGGAGTCGCTCAGTAAATAAGTAACGCTAGGTCCGATAAATAATACAAGTTATCAGGGTCGCCAAAGGTAACGTTGGACATACAGATGCAGAAGTAGGGATCGTTCATATAAATTACGTAACGCTAAGCCGTAAATAGGCAAGTTAAGCATGAAGTTATAGGGCTCATAATTAGAGAGCGACTAGCCGAAAGGCATGTACCATTGACTTGGGACGTCCGTCTAAATTAGTAAGCTTTGATTACGTATACAGAAGTACTCCAAGGGGTCGTTCATCAAATACGTACACGCTAGGCGATAAATAACAAGTAACAGAAGTTACATTCAAGGATCGTTCATAAATTACGTAACGCTAGCCGATAAATAGCAAGTATTACAGATGTTTAGCTCTGAGAGGTCGCCTATAATTGATTGATTCTTAGTGATTCAGACACGTCAACCCACGTCATTAGTCCGTAAGTGTAATGCATGTTTTTTGCTCGGGAGGTGGCGGGATTTTTTTCTTCCGCTTTATTGCCCAGATCTGGCGTCGACCTTAGCGGGGTTCTCCTCAACCAGGTATCTCCCACCAGCGGGGTACCGCCTCAGGCAGGACAAGCTCTTAGCTCCTGACGGGTCTCCCGAAATGTGTGTTAGTGAAGTGCGTGTTAGTGTGTGTACTTAAGGGTGAGAATAGGACAAGGAAGAGGGAAGGTGAGATCGCGCGCGGTCCGTCGCGCCGTTTGTTAGGGTACTGCTCACGGCCATTCGCCTAGTGTTGATCGGAGAAACCACGGTAAACTGTTGTCCATAAATTACGAAACACTGAAGAGGGGGAGGGATTTGAGCAGTGTCCGCTGCGTTACAGAGGGGCAGAGGGGTATTCGATTAGTGTTACGTGATGCTGATAATTATTTTGATATCTTTCAACATGTGCTGAAATAATGGCGGCATTTCGTTCCTCGTTGGTTGCGTGTTGTCGATATGATAACAGAACTGTACTACGAAAATGTTAAAAAGGTAAAGACTATGTTGACGCCGCGCAGAAACGGTTGGTGAATAGTATACCTTCCTGCGTTTCTTTTATCTCCGTCCTAAAGCGCTCGGTTAAGGACATGAATTTCAGGTGTTCAACGTAAAAACGTAAAATTGAAAAACACTCTTTATCTATTTCGTAACTCAATATCGCAAATTCCTAAAAAGGATTGATGCAAACCTTTTGTGGCTAGAGCTTTCCTGATCCCAAATACTGCATCTTTTTTCCTCTATGTGTTTTTTTCTGGAAATAATTATAAGCAAATGTAGGGTTAAAAGTGTTTTAAAAGAATTGACAGTTCTCAAACTAAGATGCAGGGATTGGGGAGATGCAGTCATGGCGTGTCCTGATTTGGTCTTCAAACTCAAACTTGGAATAATTTTATTTCCAATATCTTCTAAAAAATATCATACTGTAAGGCAACGAAGTATTCAAATTCTATTGAGAAATCAAGAAAATAATTTTTTTAGAAAGCAATTTACTGGATTCAAAACAAATTGATTTCATTTATTGTTTCCAATTGATACATTCATTTCTCAATACACTTAATGTAACACTCCTTTTTGTTTCTATCGTACATGTATAACGTACTACGAATGTGCTTTTCCAATTCACGTAAATGGCTGTTTTTTTAACAAAAGTGGGGCGTACACATTGTTCTTGTGACGTCATGACAATTTCATACAAAAAAGCCAGCGAAACTGAGTCACTGTGACTATTATCTCGTTCACCTAATGTACTACGGACGTTTCTCTCACAAAACCAAGCTGAATAATCACTAATAATTAAAATAATTGAAGATGTTGTCATTGCAACAATATATTTTATGCAATAGCAGCTTTCGATGGCTTGCCTATCATGCATAGTTTGTCTGATACAAGAAGAAAAACAAAAAATTAACAACATTTAAAGTGAATAACACCAAGGATTATGATAAAGGTTACAAATAAATTTACAAAATTTTTGGAAAATATATTGACAACGGGAGAAAAAAAAGTGGGGGGGAGTTAAGCCATTATATACTAAAGAAGCGAATGAAAATAGAATAGGACACGAAAAAATATTTTTTTTACGAAAAAAAACTAAAAATGTAGTTGGCCGTTCCTTACCGCTGCGATGGAAGCCACAAAACGACTTCGGCGGGGTCGGGCGAGCCGAGGGGCTTAAATTGCATATATATAATATTGCATTAATAATATATTGTTGGCAATGACAACATCTTTAATTATTTAAAACATGCAAAGATATCAAACAACACGAAAACTATACACTAATAATAAACAAAAATAATTCTGTGAGAAAAGTAATCGGACATTATATCCATTTTTGAACGAATGAGTGTGTTGGCACAATCATATGGGTTATTTGTCCTCTTACGGCAGAGTTTCAAACAAGCAACACTGTTCTAAGAATTCGCGGAGTTACAGGTGTTTTTAAATAACCCCAATCAACTTCCAAATCCAAAGAAAAAAATCTTCAAATTGATCTCCGTAAACTTTAGTACACACAATGTGTCGTAGTTCTCTGAACCACAGAATTATAAAAAACACGCCCCCCCCCAAGTAGCGCCAGCTCAAACGCTTCCAATCGGTAAAGTACATGGTAGCCGCCATCTTTGAACGATTTTCTTAAGAATGGGATAAGTGACAGTTCGCAAAACAAGTGAACATCACGTGTATTAGAGAAGTAAACACGAGCACCGTCACCGAGTACGCATCTCACATTCAAGACTCGATTTTAAAACTAACATAATACTTATCACATAAAAACTAAATTCAATGTAATTTTTTTATAAAAAGAAAGAATTTTTACAGAAGAGCACAAAGCTCTGCACTCCTAATTTCAATTATTTCTCGTGGCGCACTATATTTTCGTCGGACAGGACATCACAGCCAGGGAGCGTCGTAACTACTTCAAGTTAGCCAACTGCAAACGAACGAATGGAGGAAGGAGAGTCTAATAAGTGCAAGGACACAAAGACACAGAATCGTCAGTTGTGTTTGCCAGCAATAGCTGACAAATCATCCCATCCTTAAGAAAATCGGACAATGCTGCAGCCACCGCAGCGCCGCCCTAATGAGCTTTCCTCAGCCCAGCGCTTCGCTTCGTCCCGTTTCGCAAACCACGCCCCAGGCGGCGTCCCGCTCCCACTGCGCTACACGCATATTTATTATTATTATTATTATTATTATTATTATTATTATTTTATTTTTATTGTTATTTTTTATTATTATTGTTATTATTATTATTATTATTATTGGCGTATATGCATATACTGAGACACGCTACACGATTAACGTGTGTAATTCTTCC